TTTGGATCAACCGATTTTAACAAAATTAGTGTCATTAGAAAGAGTATGGATAAAATAATTTACATCTACTATAAAATAATTGCATTTAGTTTTAATTGTTGTAGGTAGAGGGTACTTTCGAATAGAAAAAATTGAAATTTGTTTTTCTTCAAAATTTTTAATGGAAACATCCATTTATTGTAAATTATATTGGAACTGGATTAAATTCGTAACAAAATGGCGCAAACCGCATGTTAATAGCTTTTATTGAACTCGAGATATGAATAAAAACGCATAAACATAAGTAAGTATAGTATTGACACACCCTGTATTATAAATTACATTAAAAAATAAGTTAGTAGGTATTTTCAAATTTTTATAGCAGAAGAATCTTAATGTTGATACCTATTTTGTAAAAAACAGTTTTTTCGAAACTAAGTAGGCTACGACAATGAATTTGACGGGGAGTTCATATTGTTTATTTATTGACAGCAGTCAAAACATTGTTAAGAAGTGCTAAATTATAATTCGAATTAAAGATTGCACTTTTTTCAATAGATATTAATATTGGTAATATTAGTAATTAATTATCAGTACAAATAATTCGTGATGAGTATATCAAATTGTATGATATGATTGGAGTTCATTTCGAATGTCACCAAAATGCCGCTATTGCCTCACGTATATATTTTGTAAGATATCCTGACAGGAGACATTATGGCAAAGAAGTATTTGAAAGAAAGGCAAAAAGATTAAGAGAAACTGGTAGTTTTTCTCGTCCTTGTTTTAAACGACGTAGTAGAGTTATGACCGAACCTAATTCAATCAATGTTCTTGCTTTAATTCAACAGAATCCACATATAAGTAGTCCGAAATCTCTACTTCTTTGCCACAATATCTCCTGCCAGGATATCTTACAGAATATTTACGTGAGGCAATAGCGCCATTTTGGTGATATTCGAAATAAACTCCAATCATATCACACAATTTGAAATACTCATCACGAATTATTAGTACTGATAATTAATTACTATTACCAATATTAATATCTATTGAAAAAAATGCAATTTTCAATTCGAATTATAATACATATAACACTTCTTAACAATATTTTGACTGCTGTTAATAAATAAACAATAGGTTTGTTCTAGCATCAGTTTCAAATGGTTTGAAACCATCAGCGAATAGTGGACCAGTGCGAGTAGAGGGGATATAGCACTGGTGACTGTATTATTTTCTCTCGCTGACCAACTGTTTGCTGACGGTTTCTGACTAGTTTGTCTGTTTGCTAGAACAAACCTATTATGAACTCCCTTTCAAATTCATTGTCGTAGCCTACTTAGTTTCGAAAAAAACAATTTTTAATCATATGAAATAACAATGGTCAAAATAGGTATCGACATTAAGAGTTTTCTACTATAAAAAATTTTGAAAGTACCTACTGACTTATTTTTTAATGTAATTTATAATACAGGGTGTGTCAATACTATACTAACTTATGTTTATGCGTTTTTATTCATAACTCGAGTTCAATAAAAGCTATTAACATGCGGTTTGCGCCATTGTTACGAATTTAATCCAGTTCCATTATAATTTACAATAAATGGATGTTTCCATTAAAAATTTTGAAGAAAAACAAATTTTAATTTTTTCTATTCGAAAGTACCCTCTACCTACGACAATTAAAACTAAATGCAATTATTTTATAGTAGATGTAAATTATTTCATCCATACTCTTTCTAATGACATTAATTTTGTTAAAATCGGTTGATCCAAACCAAAGTTATAGGTATTTATCCACAAATACTTTCCCACTCTCCCCCACCCTTAATTTGAAAAAATAAAAAAAAAGTACTTGAACAACTTTGTGCAGAATTTATGCCTCTTTCTAGTTTACTTATTTAACACTTGTTATAATTGGACATATTTCCCAAAAAACTGGTTTTCAAAATTTTCTTCGCAGGTTACGCCCCCTAGCGGTTAATCCAGAATCTTGAAAGTTATTTCCAGCGATTTCTCTTGGCCACTTTTACTAAGGAATTTTTTCTCCTAAAATTATAACATGAATACTTTCCGATATATAGCCGAGACATCGGCTTATTGGACCACCCGGTACATAGACCAAAGAAACTTCTAGTTCCGTGTTTATCCTTTGGTAATGACCAATCCTTAACTGCTACAATTGTTATCAGCTGTTACACCATTACTCGATAAAATTATGTCTCCAGTACTTCACTTCTCCTCGAAACCATAGACGTATATATTAACATAGACTGAGCATGCAAGCAACGAGCATCTGACGACATATGTTGCAGTTGTTCGATCTGTCTCTCTCTCTTTCTCTCTATCTATCTATCTATTTAATTAGCCTTCTTCGGTCCATCTTTGGACATAGGCCTCCCCAATCCTTTTCCATTCTTCTCTGTCTGTCGCTACGGTCATCCATCTAGAGCCCACGTGCTTCTTGATATCATCTGCCCATCTTATTTGGGGCCTTCCTCTGCTTCGTTTATATTCCCACGGTCTCCAACTTATAAGAATTTTGTTCCATCGGTCTTCTTTTTGTCTTATATTGTGTCCGGCAAATCTCCATTTCAATTTTGCAACTTCTTGTCTAACATCCCTCACTTTTGTTTTCTCTCTTATCCACTCGTTTCTCCTCTCTCTCTCTCTCTCTCTCTCTCTCTCTCTCTCTCTCTCTCTCTCTCTCCCGGTATTAATTTTATGCGTTACTATGCTTGTTTTGCTTTTATCCTTATTTTCAATAGCAAAAACATCTTACAGTTCTATCAGAATAGACTTCACTTTTTTAGTTCGTTCATCATCAAGATCTTGGCACCTTTTAATAACCATCTCAACAAGCTCCTTTCCATTTCTCATTGGTATTTATAGAAAAAACCGAAGCCACGGTAACACACTGTCCGATCAAAGTTTTTCTACTCAACTTGATAGCAGTTTCCTTTAAATATACATGTATAAATAACTTCATAACTCTTACCGAAACAACATCTCTCACCAAAGATTTTGCCATTAGCAACTCGGTATTTTCCACATATTCTTCTTATTGCGCCATCTCCTTTCGAAGGTTGGGGATACAAATGGCAATTGTAGATTTGGAAACTGCTGCACGAAATATTTCTGTGGATGTGCGGTCAAACCATCTTCTCAGGTCTTTCAGCCACGATTTCTGGCGTCTTCCAACTGAGGTTTGCCCTGCACTTTACCTTCCAATATGATTTGGAATAATTCATATCTTTCACCTCTCAACACATTACCCAAGTACCTATTGTATTTTTCTCTCTTTGATTATGCTGCGTAATTATTTTTGTTTACTTATGCGCCGAAGTACCTCATTATTAGTAACTTTTTGTATCAATGAAATTCTCAGCATCCGTCTGTATATATACATTTCAAAGGCATCTATTCTTTTTTTCTGTTTCGAAGTCCATTCTCTAACTCTCACAGCCATACAGCAAAACAAAGAAAACGTAACATCTGATCATTCGTCCATATCTTCGACCATCCTTAAACTTTCCTCTCAGCAGTGATCATCAAGTCTGGTCATTAGAACTTTCTCACTATTACCAGGTATTGTTCCATCGCAAGTAGTTAGTAAGCGGATAACATCTTCTTTGTCGTCATGAAACGACAACCCTTCACCATTGATCTCAAGAACATTAAATACAGTCCCAACTTTTCTAGTAAATCCATTCCCAATGTGAACTCGTCGGAGATCTCAGCAATTATTACTTTATGTTTTGCTGTGGTCTGGCCAATGGATGGTGACATATTAGCCTCGCCATAATGTATTAATTATCTCACCAGTAGCTGTTTTAAACCTTACTGTTGCAGGTAATAATTAAAGATGGCCTCATACTACTTCTGGACGTGCAATAGTTCTTGTCGCACCTGTATCTATCAAAACGATCTACATTTATAATTGATACTACCCTCGATGTACAAGCTATGAATTCCACCGGAAGACGTAATGTTACAGGCTTTACACTAACAATAAATTCATGAAGAAATTCAGTTACTATGGAGGCTTCGTTTCTCGAGGTCGGCAGTTACCCCTTGGTGTCTCTTCGGCATCGTGTTACGAACTGCTTTACGTACCATTTCCTCCAGACGTTCATCATTTTGTTCGTCGCCTTCTTCAATGGTTCGTATTCGATGACACGGTGACGTTTGATTAGTTGTTTCGTGTTACAAAGCGAGAGGTTCATCTAAAACTCTTGCTAATCATAAAGCTTTCTTTCTGTAGTTCTCTATCTTTGAACCCGTTGAGGAAGGTATGTACAGCAATTTCCTCCAAAATGTCTGGTTCGAAGTGGTTGACTACCTCCGTGATGGAGGCCAAAAATCCTAACAAGAAGAAGTTGGTAATCAAATATTTGTTTTAAAAAAGTGGCGGTTAAATGTTAAATTTAGTTAAACATAGTTTTTATTAATCAAATAAAAGGCAGATATCGGGCACAGTTTTTATTATCTTTTTTAATATGCAAGATTTAATAAAAAAACTGTGCTCAATATCTGCCTTTTATTTGATTAAAATTCATTTATTCGAGCATTGAACCTTATCACTAAACATAGTATTATTAGGAGGTAAGTATAAAAACAGAATATAAAATGTAATACAAAAGTTGGAGTTTAGTGGAATGAATTAATGTATATAACCTATACTTAGATATATTTGACATTACCGTAAACATTATATTAATTTTAGAAGCTACAGGTTTGGTTATACCGTTATAGCTCTAGGGCACAGTAGAAAGTATTTTTACCAAAGAATATAGACGCTTAATATTCTTTGTTTTTACATAGCCATGATGTACTGTGAATATGTGGTGGCCTAGAAAGTTATACAAGTTCAACAATAGTGATTCATGAGAGATCTGAACGACTATTAAGACGGAAATATATTTTATTAATATTCATACACTAAAATTTTTTCATTGGCAAATACATATCAGTTGATTTTTAGATACTATACTGTACTGTTTATTATTTATGATAGAAATATGGCAGAGTCTGATACAACCGATGATGCGAGTATATTATCCAAAACAGTAAAAACTGAACTTTATGATAATGATGTTTCTACTTTGGACAACAATTTAAAGGGAAAAGCTATAGATTTTCAATTTTTCGTTCAGCCAAAAGTTGAACAATCTGAAATAAAAGATGAAGTTGAGGAATTAGAATTTGTGGGAGAAGCTGTAGACTTTTCTGAGAATGAACTGTCTAATTCAGAAGAAAGGTATCAGATAAGCATTTTTTATTAATTCTTTATTACTTTCATTAATAATTGTAATGTAATTATATAGTAGCTGAAAAGCTATTTGTTTATTGCTTGTTAATTCAATAAAAAAGTGAGTTTTTCCATTTTTTTTCAATAGTAAATTGTCAAGTTCAAACTTCCAATTTGCATCCAGCTGTTAGAGAAATATGCACCATGTAACAAGTTATGATGATGCAAAGTTAAGCTAAATCTTTGATTTCTCAACTTAACATTGTTAACAACTCTATCAACCCTTCCATGTATACAGAAAGGTGCCGAACTAATAGTGATTTTGGGGTTGTTTAATAAAAACAAACTGAACTATTTTAAAACAAGGATTAAGTATCTTTCAGTGCTCCTTATTGTTTGATTTAGTAAGTGATGTTTTAAATGCTTATATACAAGTTTTGTAGAACTGTTGTTTGCTGCTACCTGTGCCAGTATTATCTATGTTGTCAACTGTTACACACATTCTGTTGCACATCTTGTTCCAGTTTATCAATCCATGTTTAATATATATTTTAAACAAAGTTGGTGAGGGAGAACATCCGTTTGAGTCTGTTAGTTGTATGAAACGCTTTTGTTGGTTTGTGTTATTTTGTTATATTTAATTAATTTATTGATTGTATGTGTCCTCTCCATTACTTACAATAGTTTGGTTATTAGTATGTTGTCATAGACTTTTGTTAAATCTATGAAAAGTAAATGGAAGCTTCTTTCCGTTTTGCTTTCTTTTCTGTTAATTTGATTCAACATAAACAAATGATGCACACTGAATATCCTGCTTTGAACCCACATTGTTCTTCTGCTTCTCCATACCTTTATTTGTTTTTAATTAATTCTTCTTTTATTTTTACATACAGCCTGCTGATTGGCATTGCTGTAATGTGTTTATAGTTATTACATAATATGGTCTTATAACCTTTTTTGTTTATTGGTGTTAAATATCCTGTTTTACACTAGTTTGTCATTTTGCCTGTGTTAATACATCTGTTAAACATGTCTGTATAATTTTTAATTTTTGCAATCAGTTCTACTGTAATATCTCATCTAATCTTTCTTGATTTTTAAATTTTTTGATGGCTATATTTCTTGTTTCTTATATTAGTTCTCTACATTATGTATTTTTTTGTGTTCTGTCTGATATTTGTTTTAAGTGTCTTTGTCCATCGTATTCCTTTTTTATTTTGACTGAGTCTTCACTTTCTTTTATCCATCTTCTGTTATTATTTACATATTTCTCTTTTTCAGTTTACTTCAATGCTTCTGGTGCTGTTGCGTGTATCCTTTCTTTGATTTGTACATGAATCTTTTTGTATACATATTACTAATAATAATCAATAGCTTTATTTTGAAGACCAGCAATAGTAAATAGACAATTACAATAAAGTGGTAAACAAAACAGTGTCAGAGAAAGGAAAATTTATATATTTTATGTTACCCTGAATAATTTTCAGCTTAAAAATTTCTCTATTTAAAAAGATTAAACATTCCTAAAAGAAAACACCAACTGCTGTATGTTGTTACTTCCTACAAGAGGCTTTAAACTTTAAATTCAACATTATTCTTAATACTTCTGTACTTAACATAACTTCGTTTAAAATTTACAGATTTGGCATAGTTAGTGTTAAATAGCTGTGCTTTTGTTTTACTTTGGTTTAGTATTAATCTTTTAGATAGTAACTATTTTTTTACCCTTTTTAAGTATGCTTCCAATATTAACCAGGATATTTCTCAGGATCACAGTTCGGTTTCAGGAAGGAAAGGAGCACAACTTTTGGCATTCTTGACCTAGTGTCCTGCATTTTGGAATCCTTTTATAGGATGCAATTCAGCACTGTTGTGTTTTGTGACTTAAGTAACTCGTTTGATTGTATGGACCATGCAATACACCTGAAAAAACTATAGAGGTACAACTTCTGTTCACAGAGTATCAAGTTGATCCAATCATACCTCAAAAATAGGGTACATGTCTGAGGTGTCAGGGGAGAGTGTTGTTAATAATGGTGTCACTCAGAACTCCGTTCTTGGACCCATACTAGTTCTGTTCTTTTGTTTTCTAGTGTAGCACTTTCAAGTGTAGCTGAGTGTTGTTTGTACACTGGCTAGTGTCCAAGGAAAATCATGGCCGTGATACTAAACAAAGGAACATTCTAATGCAGTTAACCTCTGAGTTGTGAATTAAGTCGGGATATTTTACACCTTGTTTATCTTTAGATTTTTTGTTTTCTTTCCTTCTACTTTGGATGTTCCTTCTTTAATTTAAATAAACTTTGTTGTAATTAGCTAGGTAACTTAAAAAAAATTGTAAAAATGAGTGATGAAATAAAATTATCAATTCAATTACAACAAAATAAAACAATTAATTTAATTAAAATTTGTAGGTACTTTAGTTTTTAAAATTACTAAAAGCTATTTAATGATTTTAAATTTAAATTAAACTAAAAAAAAGATTTTTTTGTTAACACTTTGGCGCACCCAGGGGTGGTTTTGGGGGTTAAACACTCCCCCCAGGGCATATAAAGTAAAACATATATAAAAAATAGTAGGAAAACGTAACTTGTCTTTGTGGAAGTTTGAAAACAAAGTTTTCAGTGTTTTATTGTTACATAAAATGAATTTCCATCAAGTTATGGTCGAATCCACCAATTAAATACATTTTATTTGTTTTAGTCAAGAAGATAATAGTTACATCTCAAAAAAATCTTGTAAGTATGTTTTAATTTTGAAAAAATTAATTATTGTACTGCAATTTATTTATCTGTATTGTAAAGCAAACACTGTCAAAATTTTATAATTTTATTATAGCAGTTTCTATAATTTTTAGCTATTAAAATTTGGTATTCTTTCTGGTACGCTTAGGTAAATGCGAATATTGATCTAATAATCATCATCATTAACCAGCCAATCGCCCCCACTGCTGGACATATGCCTCCCAGTCCTTATTTCCAGTGTTCTCCATACTGGGTCGCTTATGGACAGTTTCTCGCTAATCTTTTTACATCGTCGATCTATCTAGTCGGTAGTCGTATTTATGACTGGGACTGAAAGTATTGTAGACATCATTGATCGCTGTACAAGATCAAAACCGTTGTGTTAACATACGTTTTTACGTAGTGTAAAATGAAAAAACAAATTTATTGTGGGCCACGTGAGGCTATGCCTTCAAGCCATACATACATGTGTATCTGACCTGTCGTTAGATTGTGGGTATCAAAACAATACGTCCACAGCTGTCTCTTGTAATAAACCTTACTTACTTACTCCGTGGCGTTACAACCCTTCGTGGGTTTTAGCCGACTCGACAACATGCCTCCACTGTTTTCTGTCTTGAGCAACCTCCATCCAATTCTCCACGCCCATAGTGCTTACGTCTCCTGCTGTATTATCTCGCCACCGGAGACGAGGGCGTCCGCGTGGTCTCCTTCCAGTTGGGACTTGCTCTCGCACCCGTCTTATTGTTCGTTCGTCAGAATCTCTTCTGAGGTGTCCTGCCCATTGGAGTCTTCTGTACTTTATTTCTTTTATGATGTTAGCGTCTGCGTAGAGTTCTTCGAGCTCTTTGTTACTCAGGACCAAAGATCTTCCTTAGGATTTTTCTTTCCCAAATACATATTATCTCTTCGTTTGCCTTTGTTATCGTCCACGTTTCGCTTCCATTCATCACGACGGATCGTATGATTGTTTTATAGACCTGTATATTCGTACGTCTTGTTAGTTGTTTCGATTTTATAAGGTTTTGGAGGGCAAAAAGACATCTGTTGTCGGCCTGAATCCTGTTGTTTATTTCTTGTGATCCGTTATTGTCTTCAGTTATTGTTGTTCCAAGATATTTGAATTCTCTAACGCGCTCAAAGTTAATCTCATCGATGGTGGTGTTCTGACCGATTCTGTCTCTGCTTTGGTTATTTGCTCTCACATACATATATTTCGTCTTGTTTTCGTTGATTTGGAGCCCCATCTTCTCTGCTTCCTTCTCGAACCTCACGAAAGTCTCCTTCATCCTTAATCGTGTGTTTCCTATTAGATCGATATCGTCTGCAAATGCCAATAGTAAGTTTTTTCCTTCTCGATGAAATACTGCATTCTTTTTTTCGATTCTTGCACTTCGGATTATGTGTTCCAGAGCTAAGTTGAAGAGAGTTGTGGTGAAAGTGCATCTCCCTGTTTTATTCCATTGTTTATTTCAAATGTCTCCGAGTGTTGTTGTCCAACTCTCACCTTACATCGTAACCGTTCCATACACATCCGTATCAACCTGACTAGTTTTTCTGGGAAGCCAAGTTCCTGCATCGCTGTCCACAGTCTGGCCCTGCATACTCTATCAAATGCTTGTTTAAAATCTATGAACATCTGATGAAGCTCACGATCAAACTCCCAGCATTTTCCATTATCTGTTTTATACCATCTGTTAATAAACCACTTCCGTAGAAATACTAGGAGTAGCTAAAGTTTTCATCAAATCAAATGTAATTACTGCTGTGGTATCTTTCTCCTTGGCTGCATTGTCCTTCATTCCACTTCCAGCTGCTTCTGTCTTCCGTAGGAGTAACTCTTTTTCTGTTGTCATTCTGCTTTTTTCTACACCTACACAGATTTTTATTTTCATATTATAAGCGTCACATCGTTTGCAAGTGTCAGTATGAGGATAACGGAAAGAAGATTAAAATCTTCATTAACAATTTTCGAAAAGGCGAATTTGGATACCTTCACTTGTGATTCTTCACTTTGCACATACAAATCAAAAGGTTTTGAGATATTTAAATCAGGTGACAGATACTCTCGATTAGGATTTTTATCTAATTTTTATCAAATTTGTTAATGAAATCTTTCATATTTTGAATATCCGTTTCTCTTGTCTAATTCTTAGGGGGGTTCTTGCCTCTTTTATCCAGTGGCGGAGTGATTAATTTTCCATCTCTTGATTTGTTTATTAAAGCTCTAGTGAGCTTTCCATCTGAAACTTGTAAAGTTTTTTTGAAAAATGATTTGCAAACAGTTACCATATCACCTGATTCTTTCGGTAATGTATAAATTTGTTTCTTAGAACGTTATATTATGATTTTGGCCAAATATTCAGGTATCTATTATCCTTCCTACCAACTAAAACCACCCCCTCTTACTTGTGCGCAGTTGACTGTCGCACGTACCGTACTCCGAAAGTGGGGTGGCCGCTGTAAGGCTGACGACATTTTTGAAACACTCCCTTTTCTTATCTAGATCTTATCTATTGTTCTGAATCTATTTTCTTGTGGCATTTGAAAGTAATTATTATTTTAATGGGAATAAGCCACAATTAAGGTTAAAATAAGTTTATTGACGTACATTAATCCAACTTGTAAATACAATACATGTTGGAGACGGCTATCGCCGTATTTCCGTTCTCCTCCGCCAATCCTCCCGATCCAAGGCATGCTCCTCCACCAAACCTCTCGATTCCATCGCTCTTCTAGTTCCTTCATTCCATAAGCGTCGAGGTCTACTCCAGGGGGCTCCCATTTGTGAAGTTTTTGGGGCCAACGTTCGTCAGGCATTCTCAATGTGTCCAAACCATTTAGAACCTCTTTCTATTCTGTCAACGACTGTTTCTTGAGCATCCATGTTATTTCTTATATATTCATGTTATAGTTTCTTATAAGGTATACGTATTCTGTCTTATTATCTTATAAGGTATATCTATCAATGGAGAAGTTTTGAATAACTTACGTTTTGCAGACGATACAGTAATAATTACGGATAACAACAATGATTTACAGAACGTAATGCAACGCCTTAATGAATGCTGTCATGAGTACGGACTGAAGATAAATTTAAAGAAAACTAAATACATGATCATGACTAAATCTGCACATGCAAATATCCAATTGACTATTGAAGATACTGCAATTGAGAGTGTTAATAACTATAAATACTTAGAAACATGGATAACATCAGATGTAGACCAAACCAAAGAAATTAAGATACGTATTGAAATAGTACATACATCATTTATTAAACTTAAAAAGTTTCTTTGTTGTCGGGATATAAGGTTAGAACTACGCCTGAGAATGCTTCGATGTTACGTGTTCTCTACTCTTCTTTATGGTTTGGAAGCTTGGACACTAAAACAAGTTCATCTGAATAAGTTGACCGCCTTTGAATTATGGTGTTACAGAAGAATCCTACGAATATCATGGATTCAAAGAATGTCAAACATGGAAGTAACTAAAAGGATAGGAAATGGGGCGGAAATAATATTAACTATTAAAAGACGAAAACTTGAGTACTTGGGACATGTGATGAGAGGGCAAAAATACGCATTATTACAACTTATTATGCAGGGCAAAATCCGAGGAAAGCGAAATGTGGGAAGACGAAGAATATCCTGGCTTAAGAACTTAAGGGAATGGTTTGAATGCAGTAGTGCAGAACTTTTTAGAGCGGCAGTCAACAGAGTCCGCATAGCCATGATGATTTCCAACCTTCGATAGAAGATGGAACTTAAAGAAGAAGAAGTTTCTTTTTACACGTCCTCGTCTCTCAACTAGAGGTGTGCTTATTAGTTCTTTAGACGAACTAGTTCAACAGAACTATTTCACAAAAATGAACTAGTTCAGTGAACTAGTTCGCGAAAGAACTATTTGTAGGACCGATATCGAAATCCAACCCTACAGGACTGGTTGACAGATGTCTCGTCTCAATCATCACACAAGTTGATGTCATCACACATTGAATTCAGTCAGTCTTTTAGTCAGTATGTTTAGGTTTAAATGGTTTAAATTATTATATGATTAGTTAGTTTTTTAAATATAAATATGGTTCAAGTATGATTTATTTTTATATTTACGTATATTTAATCTCATAGGTATTTATAATTAGGTTATTTCTAAAAGAACCTTTACAAAAAAAAAATAGTGAATTTTCTAGGAACATTAAATAACACATTTTCATTCTCACTTTTACATAAAATTATATTTTATGTAAATGCCTCAATACAAGAAACAACACAGCATGGCAACATCCAAGCCAATACATGGGCATAAGATCCGAACCATTATGGCATTAAGATAAGACTTTATGTTATTGTCACATTCATAAGAATTATGAATCTTATCTGAGGCTAATCGGCATTTTTTTAAACTAGTTAGTCCATCCATTCACAAAATAATAAATATATGTTCTAATTCATTCATTCATTATTTTCTTCTTTAGAAGTCGAGACATAATTTATAATGCAAATCGTTCGCAGTGAACTAGTTCTATGAAAATTAATGAACTAGTTCAATTAGTTCAGTTGAAAGAATCGTTCATTTGAACTATTTCGATGGTGAACTACACATCCCTACTCTCAACACTTCAAACCTTGCATCTGAATTGATAACTAAATATTCTGTTTTCTTCATGCTGACTTGTAACCCCCATTTTAAATATTCTCTCTATAGACGCTTTATCATAAATTCTAGATCATAAGAATCTTGAGCTAGGACGACTTGGTCATTCGCTAAGTTCAGAGAGTCAGGAGTACGTCATTTCCTACGAGCATTCCCATTCCCTGGCAGTGGTTTTTCCAATTTTGGAGGGCTGCCCCAATATATAAATTTAACAGTAAGAGTGACATACTGCATCCTTGTTAGTCCTTTAGTTACTTTTATTGGCTCTGATAGTCTATTACCGATTTTTATTTAAGTAATGTTATCCCTGTATACTTATGTGAGTATTCCTAAAAGGTATGGACTAATGTCGAGTTGTTGTAAAGCTTGCCACAATTTAAGTCTTGGACATGGATCGTGCGCTTTTTCTAGATCGATGAAGGCCAGATGTACTTCGGTAAAATAGTAATTAGATCTTATCTCTGTCGTTGGCCCGGTTGGTATTTCTCTTTTTCCTCTTTCTTTTTAATGACTGTTCGGATGTAAATGTGAACACTATTCCATCCCTCCGTACTTCCCGTCATCTTCACGATCATCTCTCTTACAGTTACAGGGTTCATACCTATTTCTTTATACATTTTATTTCTCTCCACTATACATCTATTACACTCCAGCATTGTGTGAGTAACAATGTCGCAATGTTCTCAGTATAGGCATTTATATGTATCTGTCTTTCTGAACCTATGAAGGTACGCCCTATAACAGACAATCTACCCAGTCCCTTAGGCTCGGGATCAGCATCTTGGTAAACTGGGCACATCTTCCTTGTTGTTCCACTCTTCTTGCTATCTTTCCATTGATCTTTGCCTTTCTTCTTCTTTTTTTATAGCTGTTCTCCCTATAATGCTCTCTTCTCTCATAGAGATGTCTCTTTTCTACTGCTAACACATGCAGAGGAACAAAACCCGTGATAGTCCACAAGGCCGCCGCAGATACAGTCCTGTAGTAGCATGCTACTCGCAACAGACTCGTTATGTCTACTTTTGTCATTCTTCTTCTTCTAGTTCCATGACCGTTATCGATCGTTGGATATCATATTCTCTATTGTGACTTTATTGATAGCAGCTCTAAATAACGATGTAGTTGATTATCTATACCATTGTCTTAGATTTTTCAGCCATGATGTTCTTCTTCTACCAGGACCACGATTACCTTGGATCTTTCCCTGAATGGTCAGATGCGAAAGATCACATTTTTCAGGGTGTCTCATAATGTGATCGAAGTATTCCAGCTTGCGTTTCTTTATTATATTGACCAGTTGTGTTGTTTGGTTCAGCCGTCTAAGAACCTCCTCATTTTTAACTCTGTCGACCCAGCTTATTTTCGGTAGTCGTCTGTATAACCACATCTCAAAGGCTGTCAAGCCTTTAAGGATAGCCTCAGTTAGAGTCCACGCTTCCACTCCATACAGCAGGACAGGAAAGATGTAGCAAGATGTCATTCGAACTCTAAGGTCAATGCTAAGATCGTGACTGCAAAGTACGTTTCTCATTTTTACAAAGGCAGCTCGGGCTTGTTCTATTCGGTTTTTAATTTCTGCGGTTGGATCCCAGCTCTCATTGATATTACTGCCGAGATACACGAGTTTCCGCAATTAGGAAAGCACTAAGGTAACGACGGCATATCTAATGTTGTTAACGGTTACTCCATTCACAATAATACCTTCGGTTGTCTCCATTAAGGCTTCCTTAAATATTTCCTCCGAATATAAGTTAAAAAGTAAAGGCGACAATATACAGCCTTGTCTCACTCCTCTTTTTATATTTATTTCATCCGACAGTTCTTGTTCAACCTTTATTCTTGCCACTTGATGCCAGTATAGATTTGTAATTATTCGCTGATCTTTATCGTCCAATTTTTGTCATAAGCCTAATATTAGGTATCTATATCTAAAAATAAGGAAAATATTATTAATGTATATTAATTATTGTATATTTATACAATAATTATTGTATGAAATCGTAGGCTTCCACGGCCAGAGTCAGAATTATAATTTATTCGTCTTCCGGGTTTGGACCGTGTCATTTGTGAGTGACCCAAAAGTGGGTTCATCTCGACGTTTCGCTACAATTGTATGTAGCTTCTTCAGGAGAACAAAAAAGGAAAAATGAAAGAAAGAAGAAAACAAAAGAACAGAAAGATGGGTAGTTAGCAACGGTAACTCAGTTACTCAACGCAACCAGAGGCGAATACTAACTACCAAGATGGGCATTTGGTCACAGTAACTCAACTACTCAACGCAGCCAGAGGTGAAAACCAAATGCCAGGACAGGGATTCACGTCCAACAGCTCAGAACACTAACGCGTCGAGAGGCGGGAGTGAATCCCGCCGGGAGGGATTCACTCCCCGCCTCTCGACGCGTTAGTGTTCTGAGCTGTTGGACGTGAATCCCTGTCCTGGCATTTGGTTTTCACCTCTGGCTGCGTTGAGTAGTTGAGTTACTGTGACCAAATGCCCATCTTGGTAGTTAGTATTCGCCTCTGGTTGCGTTGAGTAACTGAGTTACCGTTGCTAACTACCCATCTTCCTGTTCTTTTGTTTTCTTCTTTCTTTCATTTTTCCTTTTTTGTTCTCCTGAAGAAGCTACATACAATTGTAGCGAAACGTCGAGATGAACCCACTTTTGGGTCACTCACAAATGACACGGTCCAAACCCGGAAGACGAATAAATTATAATAATTATTGTGTTCTACATATTTAAAGTGGTAATTTAATGATTTAATTAGCGTTTTGGGTATTGTGGGTGAAAGACAAGTTACATTTTCCTACTATTCTTTATATATTTTTTACTTTATATGTCGGGGGAGGGGGGGGGGGGTTAACGCCCAAAAGCCCCCTGGGTGCGCCACAGCACAAACCATACATACTCGAGTATGTAGTATGTATGGTTTGTGCGCCACAGTGTCAGTTTATTTATTATGAAATATACTTTCTTATATCTGAAACTAATATGTCCAACTTTCCATGTCCAAATAAATTTCAATATTTTTGTTACAGATTTGTGTGAAGAATGTAATGTGGAATCTTGTTACAAAAAACATGTCTTGCATGCAGATTTTATTCGTATTACAACTAAACCATTAAATCAATCAAATCCATATGAATGTGCTACATGTAGAATAAAGTTGTTTAGTCCTACAATAGCCTTATTTCATTTATCTCTGCATGACAAAGATAGGTAAGTTCATAACAATTCATTTTATTTACACGTTCCAAACTATATTATGATCCGTTTCAAATTAGTTGTTTTTTGTTTACGATGATAACTCTTGTAGGCTGAAAGGTTGCAGGCTTACTTAAAATCGGTAAAAGTTGCTGATATAAAGATTTCAGTTCAACTGGTAACTATTTAGGTCTACCTCGTCCAGAGATATTTACTTTCTTATAATCACTTCAGTGGTTATATCTGTAAATGAATGCTTCGGGATTTTCCTTCTGAAACTTTAAGCATTTTATATTTAACCATGAAACTGTTTCCCCATTCTCATCTTTTTTTCTGTTTTTAACAAGATTTGAGGATAACTCTTGCAAGCTGAAAAAGTCTGTATATTTAACTCGTTTTCTGCTAGCGTAACCGTATGGTCACACTAAATGGCCTCTTTTAAATACACAACATTGAACACATACAGCGATATATGCAACTAGTAATACGACCACGCGCACTTGAGATATCTATCTAACGAATGACATACCCGGTACATGATGATGACGAAAATATAGAAAATGATGAAACATTGGTGTTTATTTCTCCTCCAGGTGTTCATGAGGATACGGATGACGATTCCGGCGACGAAGACGATGGTGGTTTAGTTGACAATTTGTCTCATAGACAGTTATTAGTGCCAGCTGAAGTTCGAATAAATCGTATCGAAAATATGGAACAAGGAGAGGAAGACTCTGTGGATGAAATAAAGACAACAGAACCTGATGAACATATGAGTCAAATAAATAAGAGAAAAAATAAAAAATGTAGAATTTCTAAAAAAAAAAACTGAGATCAAGCAATGGATAGTGGGAGATTTGATACATAATAAAAAATTTAAAAACTGGAATAAATCTGAAAGTTATTAATTTTATGACATGAGTCCATTAGAACTATTCGAACTATTTTTTGACAACGATATGTTTGAGCATATTTTACAAGAAACAAAAAAATATGCTGCGTTCAAGAATTTTCCCGATTCAAATCCCTCCATTGATGAATTAAAATGTTTTTTCGGAATTTTAATTTTATTCTGCTACCATCCCTTACCGGGCAGAACATATTGGGATTAACAGGATGACATGGCTGTACACATGGTGAAAAATTCTATGCTCAGGAATAGATTTGATCTAATCATGAAATGTATACATTTTGCCGATAACAGCGGAATTGGAACGACTGATAAAATGTGGAAGTTACGCCCCATTATAGAAAAGGTGCAAATGAAATATCTTAAGTACTTTCAACCAACCCAGCACATGAATTATGATGAATCAATGATCAAGTATTTTGGGAAACATAGCTGTAAACAGTTTATCAAAGGTAAGCCAATACACTTTGGCTATAAAGCTTGGTGTTTGAATTCTGAAGACAGTTATTTGATTCATTTTCAGTTATATCAAGGTAAACATATTTCAACTGATAACAGTTATGTAGAAAAATTTGGAAGTGCAACAGCTCCTTTACTTCAAATGCTTAACGATCTACCAAATGAGATGCCAAATTACATATTTATACTGATAATCTATTTACGAGTTTCAATTTACTTGCAGAATTAAAACTAAGGGGATATGACTGTACTGGAACAATTGACAAAATAGAGTTCCTAAGTATTGCCCTTTGCCGGACAACAAAGTAATGGCTACTAAAACTAATGGTTCTGTTGATTATGTTATATCTAAAAATGACGAAATTATCTTGGTCAAATGGATGGATAATGCTGTAGTTACGGCTGCATCAACTTGCTACGTCATCAATCCTCAAAGTTACGTCAAAAGATACTCTAAGCAACAGAAGAAAATGATTCAAGTTGTAACGACTATTTTGCTTACCACAGGGTAAGAATATGGGGGACAAGATTGGGCAAACAAAATAATCGAAACAAGTGCATACGGACACTCAGTTGGTTGTTGGAGAGCTGGGTCGTGGATAAGTTGAAGATATTGGGGGTTGGATTGGGCAACTACAAAAAAAAGAAATAAAGGGGTACTTATACAAATCTCTTGGGACAAACAGAATGAAAATTAACGGAAACACCTCAAGAAATTTAATATAGGGCGCCACTTGAGGTGCCCAATTATACCTATTACAACCACTAGTTGTAACTAGGGAAATAATTGTATATCAAAAATATAGAAAAAAAATATGTTTTTCAAATAAAACTCAAAATAGATCAGAGAAACAAATTAAACATTTATTTTTGTCTCACCAAACAGTTTTCAAAAATACAGCTTATACAAAGGCATATTAAATAAAATTAGCTGTCAAATACAAATGAAAAAAACTTACATATCTGTTTACAAAAGGTTACAAAACTCTTCGAAACGGTTCTTAGTAAATAATTTAAAAAATAATTTATAAAAGAAAGCAAATTTTGTCTTTTTAAAAGAAAATGTCTATTTTTACTTTAAAAATTAATAACGTAAATGTTACCTCAGTTCACACATCTTAACTTAAACTTTTGAACAACTGGCTAACTTCTGCGGGGTATCTAACTGCACATCAACGGAAAGCTTTATTGGAAGCTGAAACTGGCACATCCAAATCAAAACTGCTCCAATATTATTCTACATGAGGTGAAAAGGGCATCTCGGGAAGGAACTGGATTTCTCAAAAAAACGAAAAACAAACAGGAACTAAACTTGTTCACTGCTCAAACATCATAAATCTTCAGCCAAAATAAAAACAGTGGTTACTGGTCACTCTTTCAGAAACGACATATTACTTAGAGTGAAAATTCCACCATTTTGGCGAATGAATGCCGGCTTACAACATCACAATTAAACGACTTTTTTCTTCGAGAAGTTCTTCATCACTTCCTCTCAAATCTTTTACTCCATTCCCACATGTCTGCCCCGCTTGGAACTTAAATCTCGACCTTTATCACATGTCTGCCCCGCTTGGAATCTAAATCTCGACTCCTTTTCTTCGTTACATTTTACAAGAAACTCGCCAAAAATTTCCCTTCCGTCTTGCAGCTAACCTGTCCCCACAAATGCCACAAACTCAAGAACCAAAACAATATCCTCTCGCTCGTGTCGACAAAAAACCTTTTAAATATTCCTTTATTGCGTTTTTAGACGCCAGTATTGGTATCCTAAATAAACAAATATTTTTTTTGACTCTCATTCTAATAACGACAAACAACTTTTTGTCAACTGGAATATTAGGGGGATTCATGGTTTATTGCGTTTTAACATAATACCTCTTTGGCGACAAAAAACTTGTTATTTTACCTAACATTGCAACACAGAGATAAAAACATATTTCCAACGTTAATACGCATTTAAAAATCTCGTCAAAAAAACTTGAAATATTTACAACGTACCTACATTTAACTTTATTGATCGATTTCTTGGTAGAAACAACAGGGACGTACCACAGAAATCTTTTCTATACACTTTAAATAAAAAAAAAAACGCTACAATGCCCCTTCTTAAAAGAAAAAACTCGGATAATTTTTATCCAGTTTTTGATAAAGGCAAAACAACAAAAACCAAATCAGAAGATGACCTCTTAACTGAGTCGAAACTTCTTAATAATATCTTTTAGATGTAGGTTACCTGAACTAGAATTATCAAATGCGAAACAATATTCCAAAATGATGAAATCAAATCAATATACAAACTCGAAAATACAGACGTGGGATAGGATGAACTAATTACTTAAAGATGACATATTGTCCTCATCTGATACAAAAGGCTTTAAATCCTTAATGTGCCACCTACCAAGATCTAAACCATTTAAATCTGACAAACGATAAACCAGTGGTGACAATTTTTCCTTGATAGTTGCTTCAATATACTTTGGTGCTAGTTTGGACATAAACTTGTTGACAGCACAAGACAAAACCTTATTTCTTTTCCAAACTCTATCACCCACTTGAAATTGGACTTCTCTTCTACGTAAGTTGTAACTCCTAGCGTTACGTTCATATCCTTTTCGAAGATTAGCCTTAACATTTTCAAAAACTTTATCTAAACCTTTGACTTCTGAAGCATAAATGTTACGGTCACCTGGAATTATCTCGATATCTTGATTCTGTTGATCCTTATGATCAACACCATAATAGTTTCCACTTAAAGGAACATGACGGCCATAATTCAGGAAAGCTGGAGTATATCCAGTCACTTCATGCTTTACAGTGTTAATAGCTTGTCTGATCTTTGCTAAATTCTTATCCCAATCTACGTGGTCTTTAACATACGTACGTATTGCTGTACCAATGGTTCTATTGTTCCTCTCCACAAAATTACACTGAGGTGCATATACTGGGCTAAACCATACTTTCTGAACGTTATACCTATTACAGAGCTCAATTAAGAGAGGATTGTTCAGATTTGAGGCATTATCACAAATCACATATTGAGGAACACCAAACATTAGGAAAACATCATTTTCCAAAAACTCAACAATATTCTTAGCCGTGGCCTTTCTCAAAGGTTGGACTAAAGTATATTTACTAAACCAATCAGCAACTACTAATAACCACGTATAACCTTTCTTTGAACGAACAAAGGGAACTATCAGATCTATTGCAACTATTTGCCAAGGAAACTTGGCCTCTCTCTGCTTACCCATTTTACCTAATGGAGCATAATTTGGTGTCTTCTGAGCACCACAAACTTTACATGACCTGACAAACTTAAGCACATCAACACGCATCTGGGGCCAATAATATCTTTCCTGAATACGGGACAAAGTTTTGGAAAATCCAAAGTGAGCACACGTAGGTGGCTCATGACAAGACTTCATAACTTCAAACCTCTGTGGTTTGGGCACAAGAATTTTCCACTCTACATCATTAGTCTTAAAAGAATTTTTGGTAGGGGCAAACTTATAAACAAAATCATTCTCCACCTTCCACTGTGGAAAATCAATGGGGGATCGGACTATCTTTGATCTCAAATTATCAAACCAAGGGTCTATTCTATCTACATTAACTTCTAAACAATTAACATGGGGGCGACTATCAA